AGCCCACACACACAACACAAACGGACTTCAGTAATCACAGTGTCACTCTCACTGATTAGCTCTGATTGCATCTGTGAGACGGTCTGCAGCCTTAAAGCAACCCTGCAGTCATGGTAACAGATGATTGGTGACGACCCTCACTGAGCTCTGGTTTAAACCCCCCTGTAGTTGCTGCCGGCATCTTTTATTCACTGTATGGATAAATAGAAAGACTGAGCTGAGACGTGCTTGTTACTAAGTACATCAGTTATTAACGGGAATAAAATAATTATTTAGTGACAAACCAAAAACATCTCAACGTGCTTTATGTGGAGATGTCATCTGAATTTCAGGAGCGGGACCACTCCTCCTTCACGCCCCCTCCTCTCCTCCTTTCCTTCATTCGTTTCTCGTACACGGGGATCTGCCCGGCCCAAGAGCTGTCGCCAGTCCCCTTCGAGGCCTTCCCCAAACTGCAGCACCATCACACTTCCTCACCCCTCATCGTTACCGAGGATGGTCCCAGCTGGGGAAATTGTCGGGTAAAGACAACGAGCAAGAACGGGAAGGAAAAACTCCCTTTAAACAGGAAGAGCCCTGCAGCAGAGACCAGCTGGGGGATGAAGACCACAGTGACGTATCTAAACATCACCAGTGTTTTAAAGATGGAGGCAGCCTGCTGCTCGCATGTTATTTGGCACATTTTGCCCTGGACAGAGGGGCCGATGGTGCGATATGGCAGCTTCTGTCAGTCTGCAGGGCAGCTGTGGCTACAACTGTAGCTTGCCTTTACCAGTGTGTGAGAGTGAATGAATTGTGAAGTGCTTTGGGTGCCTAGAATAGTGCTATATAAATACAATCCATTATCATTATTAATGCATTCATTCTTTTCAAGTATGAACAACATTGTGATTTAGAAACTTCAGAAGTTATTGCTATCTCTGATAGATGTATTTTGGGTTTTCAGTCCAATGATGTCTTCCCTCACATGCATCAACACTGTCTTTGGGCCTCATGTCTAAAATTTCTGCAAAAAGCTATAAAATACAAATTCAACACTTTGAATCAACTTCATATATCAGACTACAATGGCAGATATTATTCTGCCTCATTTTTCATAACACAGACAGGGAACCGGCCTGACCTGGCTGTGAAACTACTTGTTATTCAGTTGTCCAATTACTTTTGACCCTCTAAAAATAGGCGACAGTTTATAAAAAGTTGATGCAAAATTACTGTTAAACCCCTTAAATTAAAGCTAATAGTCTGCAGTTTAATTTCTGTTGTTTGACCTTAGATTCACAAAAACTACAAATATGTGTCTTTGTCCAACAAATTGTTGACCTCACTGTATAAGCCTGAGAAAAAAAACATGTTCTCTGACTCAGTCCTCTTTGCTTGGCTGAACATATCAAGCCACTTTTTTTCCGCAACACTTTTTTTTGGCAGAAGCACCGTCTCACCCATGAGAGAAGACAAATCACCAGTCCACCAGAGGACCCAAGAGGAAAGTCACTCACACTCATATTCACACTCAAAAGCGCTTTGGACTTTCCAGTACAACAAACTTACATGGTCTTTGAACTGAGAAGACACGTGTAACAGTTGTGTGACTCAAACACATTGTGGCCTAACTACTAATCGTGGACCATAGAGACTGCAGACAAATGAAATGGGGGTGCCTGTAAAAATGCATTGTGTTTTTTTTAAAGTGTTGGAAAAACAAAGTCAAGGAACACTGAAGCGGCTCTGGCGTATTGTGGTGGCCCAAATGCCAAACCTCTGGTCTAAAAGATACACCTACTGCTGTATTTTGATAGTGGTAGTGCAGACCGATGCACACTCTGCTATGGCTATTTGATTAGTTCGAGATCTGGAGACTGATGAAAACTGCTGCATCTAACTGAGACTATTTTTATATTCTCTGGATCCTGGAAGAGATCGCTACCATTATCACATAAGAAAGATAATCAATCAGTCTCAATGCCAACAAGGTTCATTACATTATAAGAGAGCTTCCTTTTTGGGGGGTCAAGGTGAAAATGCCAAAGTGGGAATTTAGAGATCAGAGGTCAGGAAAGAGTCAGGCCATTTCCTCGAGATTAACAGCTCTTCGTAAGGAAGTTGTGAAGGATTTATTAGAAGCTGCCAATGCGCCACCATGCCTCAGAAGTGTTAAAATGGGAGTACTGCTTTAAGAACAGCACACTCCTAACTCTACAGGTGACTTCATCCTTTAAGCCAGATGTCAATGGTAATAAAGCTGAAGGCTGAATATTTGAAACCCCAGAGGTAACCCTTGTCATCACACACTGTATCCAGGGATACAGCGATGAATAATAGATGCAACCAAGGCACACCTCCTTTGATCATTAAGACCAAAAACAACTGATATCAAGCAAAACTTAAAAAGAAAAGACGACTTTTTAAAAAAAAAATAGCTGTTACATATGACTAGCATGAACTGTTTCACATAAAGATTCATGCTAAAGCACAGCTTAGGGGGTGGGCGGGTGTCACACTGGACACATATATAAAAGCACATGTAATGCATCACATACCTTGAGCAATAGCTATGGACTCGAACCTGTGCAGCTCTCTGAGCAGACAGGTGCGCTCAGACGGATGAAGGCTATAAATAAACTCCTTGGCTCCTCGGGGTGAGTTGAGGGGCTCCATCGGCTCCTTCAGGGGGTGTGTGCCCAGGTGACACCGCTGCACCACCACGGAGAGCGGGGTCTCCGAGGCGAGCTGCAGCGGGGACGCTAGGGCGGGCGTTTGGTGGGTTTTGAGCGCGGCTCCGGTCAGACCAGTCCCGGCTCTGAGAGAGAAGGCAGGCCGCAGGACTCTCCGCAAGCAGGGCAGCATCTCTGAGATGGGGAAGTAGAGCGAAGAGCCGGAAACCTGATGGAGCAGAGCAGGCGACACCAGGCCTGGTTATCACCACTAAACGCGCACTCACCTAAAACCACATGGCGTAAAGATTTATATAATTATTTATCTCCAGTGTGGAACAATCGCGGCAACAGCCATCGCACGATAACATCCTGTACCCTCCACAGACAGCCAGGCTTACTTAACAGGAGCAAGCACCGGCCTGGCAATGATCACCACACTGACCATGTCGACGAATAAATATTGATTAGAGCGGATTGAACGCATTTGCTTGGAAACCCAAAGGTGAAAAAACAGATTCGCCAGTTTTCCAACTTGACTTATCGGACTCACCTCAGTCGATGCTCCGCTGTCCCGTCCAACAACCTCCACAGAAAACCTTGAAAACAGTGAGGTCGCTCCGGCTCATACGCG